TTTTTTTTTTTTTTGGTACCAGGCATTGAACTTGAGACTTTGTGCTTGCCAGGCAAGCGCTTATGCTGCTGAGCTATCTCCCTGGCCCGACTCTAAATAAATACATGGCAGGAAAATAATATTTTTGCCTTGATTTCATGAACAGTATTTTATTTCATTTCTATAATTTTATTTTATTTATTTATTTATTTATTTTGCAGTACCAGGGATTGAACTCGGGACCCTGCGCTTGCCAGGCAAGCGCTTATTCTATGAGCTATCTCCCCGGCCCCAGTATTTTTCCTTAATAGCAAAACTCACCTTTCCCCCCACACACAAGTTTAAACGTAGCAAATCACTCCTATGAGAAGTTTGATGAATGTTTAATTACTCATAGCTCTTCCGGGATTAAACTTTTCATCTCTGGATGACATTTAAAACTTAAGGCTAGGCATGGGGTTTGCCACTCAGTAATCTCAAGAACGCTAAGAGGAAAGTCACTGTGGCACATGGAGAAACTGAGGCTTCTGAGGTCTAGCCACCTTGCTAAGGAGAGCACACAGGCAGAGCTGGCTGCACACAGCTGGGCCCTGTGGCTCCGGGAACTGTGTCCCCAGCCGCTAAACCAGCAAGCTCCACTGGTTTAAAAAGTTCCATTTTTAAAACTGGCTGAAAGTCCCAGAAATGCTTCCAGGCAGCCAGAATGGAAAAAGATGCTCGAAGGGAACAGAACTCCTCAAAGGGGCTGAGGCTGCTGGGCCACGTGTGACACGTGGAAAACTTGAGAAACATCCCGTGGAGGCGGCTGCTGGGAGAATTGGTCATGCTCTTTGGCAAACTGCTCTCTCCTCCCTTCTTGTCACCCTGCCCCAGCCCTGGGAAGGAGCATCAGGACCACCTCAGAGGCCCCTGTGGCTATGATCCAGTCCCTAATCTCTGCCCAGATAAGACACAGCCAGGAGTCTCAAGGTGGGGTCTCCCTTGAGCCTTAAGCCTTCGGGGACAGCAAGTCTAGGGGGCGCCCTGGGCCAGTGTTTCTGAGCCCTTGGGCCTGTATGGCCCCTCACGAGATTGCTGGTGCTCTCCTGCCCTAGGCACGCCCTTGGCACAGCCATCTTGTGGGCTGGCATGCAGGGGGCTGCTTTCTTCCCCAACCTCCTGGCTCTCCGTCCCTCGACCCGCATCTTTCCCTCAGATGCACCCCTGTGATCAGGTGTGCCACCCCTCAACTCTGGGAGGCCCACTTGAGGTGCCTGACCCTCAGAGAAAGGACAAGGAAGCTAAGTATGGTGGCACAGGCCAGGGTGGCTGCAAGCTCAAGGCCAGCCTGAACTGCATAGCAAGACCTCATCTCCAAAAGCCAAGGCATGCCCTGGCTTTCCCAGCCCCATCTCACACAGGGAGGGCCCTGAGGAGGACTGCCGTCAAGGTCCAGTGAGTCTCCCTCTCTTAGGGCTGGAGACCCTGTACCAGCACCCTAGGGACATCCATCCTTCATCCATTGCTTCATCCCTCCAACATGCCCCCTCTGAGCCCCAGGGCACACACAGCACCCTCACTGGGACTGTTCCTACCCAGTGGGCTGGGGAGAGGGCTGGGGCTGGGAGGCTTCTAGCTCAGCTCCCCGCACTCGGCAGCAGGCAGGCATTTGCTGCAGGGCCGTCACCTGGACTTTGGCCAAGCCTGGCTGAGGTGAGGTCAGAGCTCACAGGGAAAGATTTGGAGCCACCAAGGGAGGAGATGCAGCCAAAATCCCACCCTGGGGGAGCAGGGTGGAGACAGCTCCGAGCTGGACAGGTGGCAGGGGACGATGGTGTCCGTCAGGGGCATGGAAAGCGGCAGGACCGGGCGGGCCCCGCCAGGCCCCGCGGGGTACTGCTCATGCTGCCAGCACCCTCACTCCGCATGCCCCAGCCCCTGCCCTCTCGCATGCCTGTCTGTGGCTCCTGCATGCCCTCCGATGTGACTGCTACTTTACCAACGCAATGTCCCCCACCCCCAGCTCTGACAAACAGCGTCGCCCTATCCCCAGCCTCACTTAGCAGGCCCTCTGGCACCTTGACCTGCCCTCCCCAGTTTCCCCAGGCTCCGAGCCATAGGAAGGCACGGGAGGGCCAGAAGCCAGCGGGGCCCCACGGGTCTGCGCCACCGGCCTGTTCCCAGTGGTTCGCCACCTGGGCACCGCTCTTCCCCCTAAAGCTGCCCAGGCAGGCTGGAAAGAGGGCCTGGAGCCAGGGAACCCAGCAAATCGCCATTTGGAACCCACACTTAGGGGAGAGGGGTGGCCAAGGCCTGGCGCCGTCCGCTGCCCGGGAGCCCAAGGCCCTCTTCCTGCCGCCGGCGGGCCTTCTATGTGCACCCCCCACCCGCCCTGGGCCGCGGGACTCCTGGGAGGGCCGGCGCCCCCTGCAGTGCCCGGTGCCCCCCGTGTACGTGGCGCTCTCCCCTCCCGCCTCCCCCAGCTCCAGCAGTACCCGCGGCTGCGCGAGGAGATGGAGCGCATCGTCACCACCCACATCCGAGAGCGCGAGGGCCGCACCAAAGAGCAGGTAAGCCACCTCCGCTCCTCTCCCTGCGACTGACGTGCCCTTCTGTCTGTCTGTCTGTCTGTCTGCCTGCCTGCCTGGCTGTCCCGGTCCATCCGTCTGTCCATCTGTCTTTGTTCTGAGATAGGGCCTTGCTTTGTAGTTCAGACTGGCCTCAAACTGCCTGCGATCCTCCTGCCTCAGCCACAAGTGCGGGACTCAGGCATGCTCCACCGCCTCCAGTCTTTTTCCTGTTTTGCCTCCGTGGTCTGTCTTTCTTTTTCCCTTTTTTACGACAGTAAAATACACAACAAAATGTGCCACCTCGACATTTTCAAGCGTACAGTTGAGTGGTACCGAGTACCTTCCGGTCACGGCCCAGCCATCACCACCCTCCATCACAGAACTTTTTTCTTCTCAGAGCTGAAACTCAGGCCCCGTTCAACCCGACCTCCCTTGCCCTTCCCAGCCCCACAGTCTCCTTTCTGTCTCCATGAGTTTGTCTACTCAGGTTCCTCATAGAAGTGAATTGCACAGTATTTGTCTTCAGTGTCTAGTTCACTTTACTTAGCATGATGTAGCCAGGGTTCCTCTGGCTTTTTTTTTTTTTTTTTTTTTTTTTTTTCCAGAAATCGAACTCAGGACCTTGCTGCTGAGCCCTAGCCCCAGCCCTCATCTGGATTTTAGTGTGTGCCAAAATCTTCCTTTTCCAGCTGACCAGATAGCTCAGCAGATTAAAGTGCCTACTTAGGCAGGTGCAGGGACTGGAGTTTGATCCCCTGCGTGACGTGTGCCCCACCCCATCCCACCCTCCACCTCACCCCCGCATCCCCACCCTGTCCCCCACCCCCCACCCCCACCTTGCGCTGAGATTGCAAATGAGACTGGGCATGGTAGCATGTGCCTGTAATCCCAGTGCTTGGGAGGCTGAAAACAGAAGGATTACTACGAGTCCAGCCTGTGTAGTGAGACCCTGTAGACTCTACTAAATACAAAAAAAAAAGAAAGAAAGGAAAAAAGAAAGAAAGAAAACTTCCTTTCAACATGTGAATAATATTCCATTGAACATACATGCCATATTTTATCTATTCACTTGAGCTGTTTCTATCTTCTATAAAAGTGAGTGTACAGATATCTGTTCAAATCTGTGCTTTCTATGATTCTTTTAATCTATACCTGAAAGTGAAAATGCTCATTCATATGGAAATTCTATGATATATGTTTTCTTTTCTCAGTACTAGAAATTGAATCAAGGGCCAATCTGTCATGAGCTACCTTTTTACAGTTTATTTTCAGACAAGATCTCTCTAGATGGCCCAGGCTGGCCTTGAATTGAGAATTCTCTTGCCTCAGCCTCCCAAGTACTGAATTACAGGTGTACACCCCCAGCCTCAGGTAGATTCTACCTTTACTCTACCCCTCACGGTTCTGCTGTGCTCTCTAGAGATAGTTGTAATTAACCTCCGTTCAGTACCTATGATTGCTCCATCTCTTTGGGCTTTACTAGTCCCATGTGAGTCCAGGCTCAGTGAGGACAGACTCAGGCTTATAGGAATCAGCAGAGGTCGGAGCTGGTCCAAGCAGGCTGTTTCCAGGAAACCCCCTCAGCAGTCTTCAATGACTCAATCACGAGTCCCACACACTAATAATTTGTGGGGGTGAAGCTGTCTCCCATACCAGAATCTAAAAATTCTTATTTTTTAAACAACTGCAGAGTGCTTCATGATTTAGAGTACTATAATGTGTCCCACTTTCTGATGGCTTATTCTTGATTTTTCTCTGTTGTAAATCATACTAGAGCTGGATGCAGTGACTTTAGCCTATAGTCCCATCTTCAGGAAGGCTGAAGCAGGAGGATTACTTGAAACTAGGAATCTGAAGCCAGCCAAGGCAATGTAACAAGACCCTGTCTCAAAAACAAGCAAATAGAAACACCTTATGCTACCTTGCATACTCTGGTACCTCTATCTTATTTATTTCATGAGTTTATCCCTGAAATACGCTCTTAGAACAGAGTATGTATATTTTAATATTTGTAAATATTGCCATATTGCCCTGCAAAGCATGATGATAATTATACTTCTGGGGCTGGTGGTGTCACTCAGAGGTAGAGCACTTGCCACGCAAGGCCCTGGATTCAATTCTTAGCCTGGAAAAAAAAAAAATGATTACACTTCTGAGCCTGGCATACACCTGTATTCCAGCACTTGAGAGCCTAAGGCAGGAGGATCACCATAAGTTCAAGGCCAACCTGGAATACATAGGGAGACACTGCCTCAAAAAACAAAGATTATACTTCTACCAAGAATGTATGAGGGGGCTGGTGAGATGGCTCAGTGGTCTAAAGCACCTACTTGGAACAAGCTTGGCAGAGCACAGGGACCGCAGTTCGATCCCCCAGCACCACATGCCAGCCAGCCCTGCCCCCTGGTGGGCTGAGCTGGCCACACACACACACACACAAATAAATAAAATTAAATTAAATTAAAAAAAAAAAAAAGAATGTATGAGACAGGGGCTGGAGAGATGGCTCAGTGGTCTAAAGCACCTACTTGGAACAAGCTTGACAAAGCACAGGGACCGCGGTTCAATCCCCCAGCACCACATGCCAGCCAGCCCGCCCCCTCGTGGACTGAGCTGGCCACACACACACACAATAAATAAATGTTAAAATAAATAAATAATTTTTAAAAAAAAGAATGTATGAGACAGTCCATCTTCCTGTACTTGTACCCAAACTGATCGTTACCAATGCTTATTATTGTTGAATAGATTAAAAAAGGATTTCCTTGTTTGAGCTTCCATGTCTTCATCAGCGAGAGTGAGCAGCCTCGACAGACCCTTATTGGTGGCATGGGTTTCTTCTCTGGATCACCCATCCACGCTCTTCAGCTATTTTGACCTGTGTTCCTTCTGTCTTTCACTGACCAGTCGCAGGGCTATTTGTTTATTAAGGACACTAACCTTCTATACATGCTGAGTGTTTTTCTCCTGGCTGGCCATGCATTTTTAAACTCTGTGGTGTCTCTTCCACTTGCACACTCACCTGGGTGCCCACGAAGGTCATGCTTCTCATCGATATCGAGCTGGCTTACATGAACACCAACCACGAGGATTTCATAGGCTTTGCCAAGTGAGTGCTTCCCGAGTGGTGAAGGGGACCCTTGAGTGCATGTGGGTCTGTGTGTGTAGAGTCCAAGGCTGCTGGGTTAACTCTAAGCAGTGGCCACTCTTGAAAAAAGGTGTTGAGGCCCCCCCTTCTGTCCCATTAGTGCTCAACAGAGGAGCAACCAGATGAACAAGAAGAAAGCTTCTGGGAATCAGGTAAGTGTGCCCCCGCGCCCCAGCCCGAGGGATGGAGGGTGCCAGACGGACGCCGAGCTCTGAGAACCCCCTTTCCCAAGGGCAAGGGTCCCACGGGGCCAGGGAGCCTGTCATCTGCCAGCCACAAGCCTCCCACTCTGCCTCAGTAACCCTCTCTCCTCTCTCCCGATGCTTCTCGTGGTTGCTATGGTTACCTCTTTGCAGGATGAGATTCTGGTGAGTACCAGGACTGGGGCTGTGGGCTTGTGCAGTGATGGGGAGGAGAGGGTCCATTGGTATTCGGGTCCCATGGAGGGTGAAAGGGCGCCTTTTGGCTTTAACCACCTGCACATGCCAACGCATGAGCCTTCCACACCTGCTCATGGCCCAAGCAAAGCCTGGCCACACACATAGTCCCATCTGTCCATCCATCCATGTGTACAAGCCAGGCTCCGGATCCAGGCAGCATTAGACTGTGTGGGCATGGCCTGGCCCTAGGTAGGTGCTTCTTCACCATCTACCCCATTGATGACCAGGTGAATGAATGGATGGGCAAATAGCTGTGTGCAGGATGTTCTTAAGAAAATGACAACTCCTCCAGCAGAAAGTTGAGTGAAGAGCTGAATGCAAAATCACAACAACCCCCTCTCACCTGGCCTCCTGCTCATGGTCCCTCAGATGTCTGTAGAAATCTCCTCAGGTCAGAAGCCCCCATTCCACCCCAGTTGTACACGGGAGCCCTAGGCCCCAGCATTAGTTAGCCCATGAGTTCCAGAGACTGCAGTCGCATCGTGAGAAGTGTGCTGTCCATTTCCCTCCCGGACTCCTCAGCAAGGCTCGGTCTGTCTGATTCACCATGGAATGAAGGATGAAGGAGTACAATGTCACAGGGCAGCTCTGCTGAGACTAGGGCTTCAGGCAGGGCCACAGTGAGGCCTCAAGAACCCCAGGACTCTGCTGGAATAGGGGCCAGGAAGAGGGGCATCCAGACAGTCCACATCTCAACCTCTTCTCTCTGCCTTCTCAGGCCTGGGGCAAAGATTTCAGAGCCTCACCAATGTTGCCCTCATCTGTTCTTGTCACCACTTACTGTCTGCAAGGAGCTGGGATATACTGTTGAGCAGGACAGCTGATGACTTAAGCCAGATATGGTGGCATATACCTGTGCTCAGGAGGCTGAGGCAGAAGGATCACCTTGAGTCCAAGGCCTTCAGGGCCATATAGTGAGCTCAAGAGCATCCTGGACTACACAGAGCACCCCTGTATTAAAAACAAAACAGGGCCGGGGAGACGGCTCAGTGGAATAAGCGCTTCCCTGGCAAGCACAAGAGCCTGAGTTCTATCCCCGGTTCTGCAAAAAATAAATAAATAAATAAATAAATAAATAAATAAATAAAATAAAATAAAAACAAATCAAGACAAAGAAAAACACACAGAGGTATATCAAAATTACAGTCATTGTTCTATAGAAGAAGACCTAAGAAGGACTATTACTACAAGGATCTCGATTCACACTGGAGCCTTCCTTGGAATAGAAACTCTGAGCTGACCACAGGCTGATTTAGGTATTTGGCAGGTAAAAAGCAAGGAGTGCTTTCTAGGCAGAGGCAAGAGCAGCATGTGCAAAGTCCCTGGGGTCAGAAACAAGTCTTAAACTTGATGAGGCCTTAAGCTGAAAATGCGCTTGGAGTGGTCTTGCCCAGTCAGCTAAAAAACTCTGCTTGCACACTTTTAGCAACGGGAAGCTCATCCCCTGCCAGAGTTGCCCATCCCTCGCTCAGGCAGAAGGCTCTGTACCCGAGCTGGACTCTGCCTCCTTTGTCTTCCTCTCTGCTCCCTTAGGGGCAGGCAGGCAGGCCTGGCCCCCACCCACCCTGACCAGCTGGCCTCCGAGCACTGGGAGAGGGGCCTTCGATGCCTCCACTTGTCCACCCCTCCTCCACGGGGAAGCCCAGGTCCCACTACTGACACCCTGCCCCCTCCCTGCCCAGGTCATCCGGAAGGGCTGGCTGACAATCAACAACATTGGCATCATGAAGGGGGGTTCCAAGGAGTACTGGTTTGTGCTCACCGCGGAGAACCTGTCCTGGTATAAGGATGATGAGGTGAGTGAAGGGGCCGCTGCCTATCACAGACTTGGGCTGGTGGTATGGGGTGGACTGGAGCGGGACAAAGGAACATCCACTTGGGTAGAAGTCCCATGTGGGGACCAACAGTAACAAGCAGTGCTGAGGGCTCTGGGGGAGGTGCCCTGTCACCCAGGTCAGCAGGAGAAGGTGGCCTGGCAGAACCAGGAACGTGGGGCTGAGCACCCAGAGAGGGTGGGCAGGGACTTTGGGTGCCCCTCCCTGCCCAGAGCCCAGTGGCCTTCCTGTTTTCTCACTCCAGGGCGTGCCGCCTCCTCCCTGGCCCCCACAGGCCATGACACACACGTCTGGCTGCCAGACACCCAGTTAACCCCTGCACCTCAGCCCCCTCAGTCCCTGATATCCAGGGGAGCTGCACAGGGTGCCTCTAGGCCAAGGAGCAAGGGGTGATGGTGCCCTACAGGGCCACCCCTAAAAGACCTCCCAGCCCACTAGGGTGCCAGGAAGCCCCTGACACCTCCTCCCCTGCTGCTGGTCTCCTTTAAGAGTGAGTCTGTTTGGCTTCCACATCTGGATTCCAGAGGTGACCAGAGAGAGCGGGAGGGTTGGGGGTTGTGCTAATGAACTCCAGCTGGCCAAGGAGTGGGGGAAGGGACCCTCTTCTTCCTGAGGGGGCTGATGGAGATGGGTGCTCTCAGCAAGGCAGCAGGGCTGGGATGGGCTGATTTTGTTCTCTGTGCCCCCTTCTTGGTCCCTGTCTCCTCCAAGTCTGCTCTGGGCAAGGTCCCCACCTCCCCTCCTTGGGTGGGACCCTCTGTTGTCACCAGCAGGGGCGCCAAGCCATCTGGACCACATTACCCCAACGCTGGCCTCTCCCCCAGCCCTGGGGCCCCTGAAAGAGATGGAGGCTGAGGTGGTGTGGGACCTGGGCTTGGGTTTGGCTTGCTGTTCTGTCACCCTGGCGGACTCTCTCGACACCCCTCCATGGGTCTGGGGCTCTTCTATTGGGGTTGCTTACACAGGGCCAGGGGGATGGCATAACCTGGGACCAAGGGTCATGTGGTCCACCCCAAGGAGGGGTGAGCACAACTGAGGGGTCCCCTGTCCTCAGGCCCTATAGTGTGGATCTTTATCGAGCCCTGTGTGTGCCTTTGAGCTTAGTTGTGTATGGAAACATGCCAAGTAGTGTATGTGGGGCCACGCGTGTGTGCGTATACCATGTAGCTGTTGTGCGGCGGCATTTTGTAGGTGAACATGTTGGGGTGGAAGCACTAAGTGTAGGTATGTGTGCTCGAAGTGTGACTCCTGGTGTGTGTGTGTGTGTGTAATGTCTGAGTGCGAGGGTAGGGGATGGGGAGTGGGCTGTGACTGTGGGATTTTTGAGAATTCTTCGGGTTTGTGTTTGGGACAGGAGGGTGGGGGAGGGGCCAGCTCCATTGTGAGGCTGTGTGTGTCTGGATGTGTGTGCACCCGCGTGAATACATGCACTTGTGATGTGTGTGTGTGCCTGAGGCATGGATGTGAGCTTTAGAATCTGGGTGCGCAGAAAAATGTGCCCAAGCTGTGGTGGCGTGTCAAGGTGCGTAGGCGGATGTCTGTGGATTTTTTTTTCCCCGGAGACCACTGGGGACCTGGAGGTGTCTAGGAGTCTGGCCTCCCCTCCATTCAGCCTCCTGCCCTCTGGTCTTGGGGTGAGGCAGGCCCTTGGGCAGACGCAGCTGCCCACACCCCCCCAGCTCCCCGTGACCCCTGTCTTCTCTGTCTTCCTCCCCTGCCCACCCATCACCACGAACCCAGCAGGGTGGTACCCCCATCCCTCTGCACCTCCTTCCCACCACCCTATGCCCCCCAAGCCCCTAGTCCTGGCTTCAGGCTCCGGATGTGGGATGGCAGGCGGGGGTCTGTCGAGCTTTCCAGCAGCGGCACCGAGGGTCTAACCCAGCCCAGCCTAACCAATGTGCAGACTACTGTACAATTTGGGAGTCCTGAACAGATAGTCTAAACACTGGGTAGACGGAGTGGAGGTGTCCTCTGGTCCATCCGGGCAGCAGTGTCTGTCCATCCATCCGGTGGGAGCTTCGACCCCATCCCCTGGATATCCAAGGCCCCCAAGTCCCAGCCTGTGTCCTCCCAGCACGGCCAGCCGCGGTCCCTCTCTGCTGCGACTCCCCTTCTGCCTCCTTTGACGTGGCAGGGGTGAGCGGGAGCTGGGCTGGGAGGAGGGGCCTGGGGAGGGGGCCGGCGGCAGGAAGGGAGGGCTGGGGGCGGAGGCTGCTCCCACCTAGTGTCCAACCCGAGCGCAGGCGGCAGTGGCGGCGGCGGCGGCGGCGGGGCCTCCCTCAAACGGTTCCAGATGTTCTCTGGCCGTGTGTGCAACTTCCTCCTCTCCTCCCCCAGTCATCCTCTGGGGCTCCCGGCCACCCGCCTGGCATAAAGAGGGCTTTATGTGGCTGCATGGGCCAGGCGGGTATGGGGGACCAAGGGGGTGGGCAGGATGACATCAGGATG